TCTCTTTAAACACACTCACTGAAGAAGAAGAAATGCTTCGTGATTCAGGTAAATAAAAAAATAAATATTTTTAATGGTCAACAAAAATTACTGAACAAACATATTCAGATCAAAATTAATAATTAATGATTGATATATATAATAAAAACACAATCATTTTTTGAAGAATCTTGAAAAAAAATTTACCATTTCCAAAATATTTATAATTACCAATAAATTGGGATCTCTCTGATGGGTTTTAGTCGCGCGATTTGCACAAGAGAAAATATTGCCAAAAGTAAAAGAAATGGATACAATTGATCCGTCGGTCTTTTTGAACAAGGAGTATGTTATCTTAGAATCGAACATTATCATTACTACTAAAACAATTTTTTATTTTAAATAACAAAAAAATTTATTAATAATAATAAAATATGTTTAGCTTATGGGAATTGAAACAGAATCTAGATATGGTGGTGCTAAGTGTTCCCTTTTAGTTGCTGTCTTGGCTATTGAAGGTTATTATTATAATTATAAATATTATGATTATTAATGTTATTTCTATTAAAATTACAAATTACAAGTTTATAATCCAATTATTGATTCATAGAATTGGCTAAAGTTGATCCTTCTGTCAGTGTAGCTTGTGAAACTCAGGTTATTTAGATAAATTATTTTAAAATTAATCAACAACCATTGCTGTTGTAATTAACATGATGAGTATTATTTTATTTATTAGAATACACTTGTCAACACATTGTTTCATAAATATGCCAATGAAAACTTAAAAGCAAAATACTTACCACAACTTGCAACTGAAAAGGCACTTTTACCAATAATGATAATGATTAAATGAATTAAATAAAAAATTCATTTATTTTCTTTCCAAAAACAAATTTTTATTATTGAAAGGTTGGATCTTTCTGCCTTTCAGAATCTGGTGCTGGCAGTGATGCATTTGCTATGAAATCATGTGCTGAGAAAAAGGCTGGGTACTATATTCTTAATGGATCAAAATATGGATTACAAATTCAAAGGAGACTGAAATATTTTTAGTTTTTGCAAATTTGGGTGAATATATAAATATATATATATATATATAATTGGTTCTAATTATATTTATCATTTTTGATTGTTGAATTTTTTTTTTTTTTATAAAAATAAAAAAACCTCAAGATCCATCAAAGGGTTATAAAGGTATTACTTGTTTTGTTGTAGATAAAGAAATGGGCGTTGAAATTGCAAAGAAAGAATCCAAAGTTTGTGTTATTTAATTTCTCATTATATTATATATATATATATATATTATTAGAACATATTATCACAAGTTTTTTTTTGTAGCTTGGTATTAGAGCTTCTTCAACTTGTACAGTAAACTTTGATGCAATCAAGGTACTGGACATGTGTTGAGTGAATTGTAATTGTTGTATATATATAATTTTTTAATGATATATATGTATGTATGTATGTAATGTATTGTTAGGTTCCTGAAGGAAATGTATTAGGAGAAGTAGGAAAAGGTGCGTATTATCTACAAATAATAAATATATGTGCATGTTCATATATGACGTGACGTGAATGAATATTCGATATAATAATTTATTATAATTGTTGTAAATATTCAAGGTTACAAGTATGCTATTGAGATATTGAATGAGGGACGTATTGGAATAGCAGCTCAAATGATAGGGATTGCACAAGGAGTGTATGATCACGCATTACCTTATTTATTCCAAAGGGAACAATTCGGTCAACTTATTGGCAACTTTCAGGTAAAGATAATAAAAATATAGATGGATAAAAAGAATTTGGTTGATATTAATAAAATCACCACTGAATACGACGTATATATATATTCCTCTCTCTCTTTCTTTTTATCTTTAATAGGGAATGCAAATGCAATATGCACAAAGTTGGTATTATTTAACAAATGTAACAATGACGATTATTATTATTTAAATTATATAATTTTGTTATTAAATTATAATTACATGGTGCATGCGCACACATATATATTTCATCTAGTTGCAACTGAAATCGAGGCTGCCAGATTGCTAACATATAATGCGGCTAGAATGAAACAAGAAGGAAAAGCCTTTATTAAAGAAGCTGCAATGGCTAAATTGTATTCTTCTCAAATAGCAGAAAAGGTTTACAATTTTTTATATAGATTTGATTTTTCTTGATTTTTTAAAAAAATAAAATTTTTTAATCTTTTACTATGGTGTGTTTGTTATATCATGATAATTTCTTTAATGTTATTTTATGTTAAATTAGGCTGCGTCTAAATCTATCGAGTGGATGGGTGGTGTTGGATTTACTACAGAATTTCCAGGTAGTTTAAAGTTTTTTTTTTACTAAAATGTAATTATAAAAATTATTTAATAATTTTTAAATAACTTTTTCTTATATGTATATATGTTATAGTTGAGAAGTATTACAGAGATGCAAAAATAGGTAAATACTCACAATATTTATTTATTTCAATCACTCAATCATTTATTTATTCAATCATTTATTTATATTAACATTTTGGTTTTAAAAGGTGCAATTTATGAGGGAACCTCAAACATTCAATTAATCACAATCGCCAAAGAAATTAAAAAGAAATATACATCATAAAAAAAGGTATTGATAATATATATTTTTTTTATAAAAAAAATGATATAAATCTTTTTTCCAAACTTGTTTCAACATTTCTTTTTTCTTTTATTTATATTTAATATTATAATAGGATAATAAATTTAATAAATTTTAGACAAATATATATATTTTTATGTATGTGTTATCATTCTTTATTTTCCAATTTAAATATTTATTTATTTTTTCCAATTTACCTTTAAATAATCAAGATCATAGCTAAGCAAATGTAGTACATCATGTGTGTATCAATCTATCAATATTAAGTTTTCTTAAATGAATGAAAAGTAATTATTTTTTTACACCAATTGATTGATTACATGTGGTATTGAAATTATTAAATCTCCCAAATTTTGATGTACTTTTGTTAATGGTTTAGGTAGGATTCCTGGTGTGAAATTGCCTAAATTAATTATTGATTTATTATTTAATGATTTATCTCTATTAGATCAAAAGGAAACGAACGATAAAACATCAGTTGAAACTTAATTTTTTTGATATATTTATTTTTTGTAAATGTTCTAA